TCGGTGACTCTCGGCGTGGAACAATACGAGCGAGAGCTGCGGCGCTCGGCGTCGTTCGGCGACGCTCGGGTTTCGTGGACTTGTAAGTCTCGCGGCCTGAAATTATGCTTGTTCTTATGTCGAGCGCATCGTGCTCTCATCGCGTACGGTGACCGGGGGTCACCGTAGCGGCATCCGGTGGGTTGGTGTTTCCGGGAATGATGAACTTATGGGGGTGCATCGTTACAAAATTACTTTTAAGAATAAAAATTTGTCGTTTGAATTTTACTTAAAAATCCGCACGGACTTTCCGGACAACCCAATATATGATTCAAATGTTGAAAACAATAGTTGTATTTATGACCATTTATATCTATTTTGATGCATTCTATTATCATTTATTCCATACATTGTTTAATTTGTTAATAAATTGTGTTATTTGGGATATAACAAACTTACGTTTTTCATGCGAAGAGATACTACTTGTACGAGACATTTCTTCCTATTCCAGAAGTAGATTCATTTGTATTGTCCCCTTCGGACATTTGGCTATCTATAAAACTGCTCTCATCATGTTCTCTTGGATCTTGCATTGTGGAACAGTCGTCGATGTCTAGGTTATCATTCACCAATTCAGATACTTTTGAAACGTTACTTATGGAACTGTACAGTTTTTAAGGGGAGATATACACCTAGCATGGTCAAAAAAATCGATTTTATTTTGCATTTTCTTAAAGCTTGAGGTCTCAAGAATATCTGGTGAAAATTGTAAATCAATATCTCGATATATAACGAAATTACAGCCGAGAGAGTGAACCGTCTCCGAGAGCGCGCCGTGCCGCCTGTTTTGCGGCCGAGGTAGCGGCAAGCGACCCTTCGAAGAGAGCGTATCTAGTAGTAGGGGAGGCCGAGAGGCTAAATGTGGATTTACTCGAGCGTCGTGGGGACCTATTGGATTGTGAAGATTAGATGCTAAAAAGAGAAAAAAAGGTTATATGATGTATGCCGTTTCAGTGGAGGGGGGAGCATGTACAGGCTTTCAAAAATGTAAAAAAAAACAGTGATAATGAAATACTCGAGCGTGTCAGATATTAATAGGGTAAGCGACCCATGTGTTTCTGATAACGGATAAATATTAATCTGACGGTTTGCGTGGTGGGGTTAGCTGTAGGAAGGGGTCAAAAAAAGGGGAAAAAAAATTTC